GTTTTAAAAACTGTAATGGCTTCCAGAGTAATTAATGCACAACTGCGTTTATTGCTAAGTTTATTTTTAGAGCTTTTCTCCCTCACTCCCCCTCCCTTCCCTCCCAAAGATGTTTTGACCAAAGGACTGGGTGGGATGGAAGCTCCTTGTGGGCCCTCATGCCTCCATGCCTCATCCTTCCCCTTTCCCTCCCTGCTCCTCCTTCCTGCTCCAGACCCCACTGGGGCTGGGACCCTGCCTGAGGCAGCGTCTCCTCTGAGCTGGGTGGCTCTGAGAGAGCACTGGACACCAGCATGTCCCACAGCTGCCCTGCATCTGGCCCAGGTTCTGGGGTCCCAGGGCCTGAGGCCTCCCGCTCCATGACAGCACAGAGGCTGACGGGCTCCGTTTAATCTGCTGACTCTGCACTCTCAAGTGCTGCAGGGAGGCTGCTTCTGAACAACCATCTAAGCAGACAAGTGGGAAGTGGAGTCAGACCCGGACGTGGGAGGCATGGGCTCGAAAGGCCACCATGATGGACAAGGGACAAAAGCAGGAACTGCTGGACACGTGGCTGCCTAGCGTGGCCTGAGTTGTCACCCACCTTCTCTCTCTGGCTTCTCCCTCCTGGTACGAGAATCTTCCCCCAACCAGGGCCATCTGAAAAAGTTCCTTCATGAGTCCATGAGGACTCGGAAGAAACCTGATTGCACCCGCCAAACGTGGCCTGGCTCAGCACCTGTGCAGCTCCGCACATGGCCTGGGTGTGAGGACAGGGCTAGACTGGGCTCGGTAGTGGCATGAGGTCACTCCACGATTCAGGTGAGGCCAGCAAGCATCCTGTGTGGACACCGTGAAGAGACGTCTGTAGGGCTCTCGGTGCACACAGCTCAGGATCACTGCCCCTCACGTGACCTCTGCTTGTGACACTAGCCCCAGGAGCCCTCTGTGTGGAAGAGGAGTGAAGATGCAAGAAGGAGAGCAAAGGCCGCTATGTCCAAGACGGGTCAGGTCGCCCCTCAGCTGGGGCTCTCGGCTGCCAGCCCACCTACTGCTGGGGCCGGAGCAGCCAGCAGGGCCTCCAGGAGCCATCCCTGCACCACACCAGGCGCTGGGGACAGAGCACATCAGGGCCAGCCAGGGCTGCCCACGGCTGTCCCTCCCTCACCCCTGCAGCTCCCAGCTGCATCTTGCACCATACTCAGCACAGAAGTGAAAAGGAAGGGGAGAGGGAGGGAGGACGTGACAGTCTCCAGGTGGTCATGAGGTCCCTGTACCTTCTCTCCTTGTCACTGAGAGGACATGCCCCACATGGGTTGCTGCCAGTGGATCCTTTGCGGAATTGGAGCAAATTCAAGTCGGGCTATTCTTCTTGAGGGGGTACCTCTCCCGGGGCGCCTGCAGCTGCCATTTTGGGCACCCCTTACCCATGAGGTGGCAACCCCCCAGGTAGGTTGCCGATGCCAGGCTGGCGCGTGGCACTTGGTCCTGCACGGAGCAGGCGCTCCCCCTGAGCTTCCTGTAATACTGACGATGGAGGGCATGTTCTTGCTCTCCTCCCAGGACCCGTCCCGAAATAGCCCTTCTGTGTCTGCAAGGGTCTCCCCAACTCTGACTCCTTTAGCCAGACTACGAGAAAACCACCTGGGCCCAGGCATCGGCCATCACAGTCGTTCACGATCCTCGTACACCTGCCGTGTATCAAGCCCCATCCTGAGGCTTTGTGGCACTGACCCTTTTCATTCTTAGAACACCCTTGTGTCGCAGGTCCTGACAGAGCCCCATACTGGAGTTGAGAAAACCGTGCCCTAAAGGGGGACATACCTGGCAAAGGTCATACAGCTTGTGGGTGGCAGAGGTGGGATTTCAAACAAGACGCAAGTACCTGAAGCGTGGGTTTTTAGCCCCTGCCCCCGACTGACTCTCAGAATGGGTCAGCACCCCGTCCTGTCCCAGAGGCTCCCCCCACCTGCTCCCGAGGCAGACAAAAGAGGCGCTCAGGAAGCTGGACAGTCGGTCCCTTGTGCACCGCCCAGTGCTGTGTCCTGGAGCAGGGCCCGGCCTGTGCTGGGTGTCAGTCCCCATGCCCAGGTCTCTGGCTACCCTCTTCTCTCTCTTGCAGGTATCCACCTCCCAGGGTTCCTGACCCTGCCCCCGGAGAGCGCCCCTTCTCGGACTCCCATCGGCTGGACTCTCCAAACCTGCTTCCACAATGGGTGGGTTGTGAGCGCTGGTAAGACCTGCTAGCCACCATTCGGCGTCTCTGTCCTCCCCATGCCCGGCCGGCCCGGCCCATGCCTGTTCTCTTCTCTCTGTGCTGCCGCTGCCCCCGGGGCCACCCCTCTCCTGCCCTTGCTGCCACTCAGGTAATGAGGAGCTGTGGGTGCAGCCAGCCTTGGAGATGCCGAAGAGACGGGACATCCTCGCGATCGTCCTCATCGTTCTGCCCTGGACGCTGCTCATCACCGTCTGGCACCAGAGCACGATGGCACCGTTCTCGTGTTTGCTCACGGAGCTACAAGAGAAGCCCTGAGGATGAGCCGGGACAACAGACATGCCCTCAGGGGGTCCTGGGAGTCCCACCAAAGCCACCTGCACGCTGGTTTAGATGCACAGGTTGGTTTTGATCAGGGGGAGCAGGGCCACCTGGGGGAGTGAGGGGCAGGGAGCAGTCAGGAGGCAGGGGAGTGAGAAGCAAGCAGGGGCTAAGGCCCCTGATGTGGTTTTTGCAGAAGAGGGCAAGGCAAGAGAGCAGCTGGGGGAAAAGATGGTGTTTTGCATAACCGGGTGGGCTCTAGGACAGGGCTGGTTGCTAATTCCCCAGCACCTGGCTCTAGGGTAGCGTAGTGGGGGGCAGGAGGCACGTGTCTGTGCGAGCTGGGTAAAGGTGGTTGCAGAGGGGCTCCGGGTTGGTGGGTTCACACATGGACAATGCGTCTGCGGGCTGGGTGTTTACTAGCTCCAGAAATTAGCTACCCTGGGAGGGGCAGTTCCTCTCCAGGTCTGTGAGGCCACAAGATGTCTAAGAATCACAAATATAAAAAGTTTGAAAATAAACACATGATTCTAGACAGACAGACAGGAATGCACGACTTTGCACTCAGTTTCATGCAGGGAACGCTGTTCAGTGGTGGTGTGGCGGGGAGCGGGAGACCATCCCTGGCCTGTGTTGTGTTCCAAAACTCCCAGAGACTGGAGTGCTCGCCCTGGTTTTCCTGCTTAGGAAACCCTGGCCTAGTCTGACCTGTTGCAGAGCAGCTGAGACGGGAAACAGCCCATGAGAGCTAGTTGGAGAACTGGCGTCTGAACCCCCCAAGGCCTGACTCTGAGTCTCAAGCTCCCTGTACCCCCAAACCTCCCATGGACCCCACACCTCTGCCTCTCATTCCTTGGCCGGTAGTCTGGTGCTCTTTGCTCCCCTCCTCCCAGTTCAAGCGCAGGCTCAGACTTTGTGGGCGGACAGCAATTCCTCCATTGCGATGTGTGTAATGTGACAGAACTTCGGAAAGCTCATGGAAAATGGAAGTCAAGTACAAGTTTATCTTGGTGGAAAAAACCTTGAAATCCACATATAGCTTTCATAACATGCACCTTCCATGAATTGTTGAAAACCCGTATATCTCCTGGGACACGTGATAAAATAGGAAGGCACCCACGCCCACCCCAGCCAGAGACGGTAAGTCTGGTTGGGGCCTAGGAGTGCACAGTAGCCCCAGGTAGTTTGATGCAGGCCTCCGGGTGGTTCGATCCAGGAAGCCACACGGAAATGTCTGGGTTCTGAGCTTTTGTAAGGAAGGCAAAGCTCACAACTGCTCTGTCCCTGGTCCGCAGTCTGGACACTTAGGGCCTCTCCTCCTGCCATCACCTCCTGACTCCAATTGCTATCTGTGGAGCCCGTCATTTGGGAATCATTGTCATCCTATAAATACATCACTCCGGGGAGTACACTACGCTATCTAAACTGACATAACACCATGCCAGTTGCACCTTGGCCACGCTCTACGGTCCGGACGTCAGGCTGTTTGGAAGCACTGGTGTGGCTGCCCGAGGATGGGAATTGGCATTCCGTCTCCCCAGAGCATGCCACGAGGGATCAAATGAAAGCTACACTTCAATGCAGGCAGAGTCACCAGGAGGCCTTTAGGACTCAAAGCTGCAGAAGGCCTGTTTCAACAAGAAGGGCATCGCACGGCCTGCAGAGTCCTGGAGTGGGCACCCCACCCCAGGGCACGTGCGGTGACTAGGGTGGCAGAGCGCTGGGAAATCCAGCTCCAAATCCCTCTCAGGCCTCGATTTTCCAAACTTTACTGGCCACAAGAGAAATTAAAACCTTTTATCCTAAATCCTGGACGACCCCTTTTCCCTCAACTTTCTTCGCTCTTCACGGTTTGACCCAAACCACCTCCCAAGACTCCCCTTTGACCAGCTGCACAGTGCTAGTGTGCTCCCCACTGCCCCAGCAGCACTGCGCCCCGGGGTACTCCCCTCTCTCCTGTCCTGCTGCGCCATTAGCCTCTGAGAACTGCCCGAAGCCGAGAGCAGTTTCCTGTGGGTTCATCCGTGTAGGCCGTCACCCACACACCCACGCACACCGCACACTGCTCCCCACGGTGGGGTAGTGGAGCGGCCGATGTGCGTGTCCTCCGGGCCACACTCCAACGGCACTGGCACATGGGTCGCATGACGCCACGAGGAAGCAGCGCTGGCCACATGCTTCCACATGGGAAGGAGAGTAGTGACCGGGCCTGCTGGCACTCCAGCCTCCGAGCATGCTAACTCGTGAGCCCACAAGCAGCTCAGTGAAGGAGAAGGCCGTTGCTCTGTTTTACAGCTGCTGAGTTGATGCATCAGGAACTGGCTCAGGGCACATCGTAATGGCAGACTGAACAGGGACAGCCCACCCCTCGACTTCGCGGTCTGTCCTCTGCCCACCCAACCCCGCTGAGATCTGTGAGAGTAATTAGGGCCACAGTCCTTCCAACAGAAAGACGTGACTGGGGGCGTGACTCATGGAAAACAAAAGCACCCACAGTCCCTGTCTCCTCTGGCTAGGACTGCCAGGTCTCCCAGTGAGCACCCTGTCCAGATGGAAGGGAAGGCTTGGTCATTAGGGCTGTCCCTAATTGGAGCGGGTGGCCTTTAGGAAATAATGGCTTCTCTGAGCCAGTGGGCATTGGGCCAGACGCCAAGCTTCTATTGGGTTATCGGAAAAGTCCTGACGCAGTTTCTCTAGGTAAAAATGTGTCAGGACTCGGGACCAGCAGTTAGCATAATGGCTCTGTCGCTGAACTCCCACGTAGTCGACCATGGTT